CATCCATAAAACCACCAGAAAGACATTTGATGTGTGGCAGTAACACTATGTTGTTATGATACGAAACAAGAAGCATACCGTAAACTGGAGAGGCGGGCTGTTGAGGCTGCTGGGTGAGCTGTCCATTCCAGGCAGGAACAGCACCTTGCATGAATGGTGATCCCGTATTCGGTGTGGTTCCGTTAGGATACATCCCAGGCTGTTCCGGTGATTGGAAATTTTGTTGTGGTTGGAATTGTTGGGTCATAGTGTTATTTTGACCATCGAATGGAGTAGGGTGCATGTTGACGGTGTTGGCAGGATTGTTGACAACACCGTTCGGTTGATTGTCGGAGAACATGTCAAATAGAACGAGTGCGTTCTGCTGAGATGGAGAAGCAGTTGCCTGTGTTTCACCAACAGGAACAAGAGCAAGTGAAGTGTCACCAGCCTTTGGTGAGCTGAAGTCATCACCACTTAACAGATCCATCTTAGGATTGGCTGGACCATTGCTCGTGGGAGGTGCAGGCAGCAATAGTTGGTTCAGTGGCTGAGCGGCTCCACTTGAACTCGAAGGAGATCTGCAGAAGAAGAAAAAAAACATTGTTGGTTGACGTGTTTGTCGGCTCTAAGATTGAGTTCCTAGAACTTAAATTGAAAAACTAGGTACAAACAAAGACAACTATCGAATACAACTTTCTAGAACAACGTCCAACAAATTATCAAAATTTAGAGGTACATTATGCTGCATATGACATGGTAACACGACCAGTCTGAATAAACAATCACTTACTCACGGTTAGGCTGTTTGCTGGCACCCGCAACATCAACTAGAGGACCACCAACATCGACTAGACTCCCACTAGGTTGAGCATCCGTCTTTGGCTTATCTTTTGGAAGAACAGTTCCTGAAGAAATGGCTTCATGTTTGGCCAGAATATGCTGCAAGTCATCATTAAGAGCCAACCCTTGACATAGTAGAGATTCATCCCTGGAAAGAGGAAAACCATCTCAACAAAACCACACTAATGCTCTATAATAGAGATACCCTGTGAAGTTGTACTAACCAGAAATCTATTCACTGAACTTGTACAACTTTAACATCGTGACCTATAACCCAATAAAAAATGAAATAATATATGAAAGGTGACTCGCAAACTCCTCCTAAGTCCCAACTCCTGACTCATTGTATATATTTCAACTCTATACCAACAGAAGCAACGACAACTTTGCAAAATACGCAAGCTTGTAAAAGAATATAAGCATCGAGTAGAAGACATGGACTAACAGAGTCAACGCTTTTATGATCAGCAGACCCAACATTAGTTAATGAAAATGAGCAGTGGTAAAATTTTCAGAGCCAGTGCCCAGATGGCACTATGGCAGTCAGAGAAGGATTGATTACTTATAATTCATATAATCGAGGTGATATAAACAGAAACTTACGCTGTCGAATTAACAAGGTGCACCACTCTCTGCTTATATGTGCGACACTGGTCCACTAGGTCAACTATAACTTCCTGCCGTAGCCCCTGAGGCATTCAAGAGGAGCAAAATAATAAAGGTAGGGACTAACCTATAAGTAAACAAACACGATAAAGGTATGGACTACACATTAAGTGAATTAGACACCAATTAGATTAAGTATATCCCGCTTGGATAAAATTATAAGAATTTGAGAAAGCACAGGATATATAACATTCTGACTACCCCATAAGCTGGTAAGGTCATGGAAGGAGTAAACATTAAGAATATCATCCCTGCATGCCAATATGGTCATATATAAGGCTAGCTCTAAGGTCCTTTGTGATCTAGAATAGAAGGATAAGTTAGAGGCATTTGCGAGCTTTCCTAAGTACTATACGACTATGACCTCTTTAAAATCACAGCTTTAGTTCAAACACAAAAGAACGATCAACACATTTACTGACACGTCTCGCACTTTCATAGCATTCTGCACAATTGGGAAACCTACCTCTTTGTTTCCTGGATCCAGAGCACTAAGCATTTCTGCAAGGACATCCATGATACCACGCGCATTTTGGATTTCTGACAAGCTGGATAAAAAACAAACAAAAAATTACAACAGAATGAAAGGCACATAGCAACAAGAAGCTTAGGATAAAATAGATTTTGAAAAAACACTATTCTAATCCATGGGGACTCTGGTAGTTTTGAATTTTAGACAAATCATTACATCCAGCAGCATTCAGGCTTCAGCTAACCAGGATTGTAAGTAAATGAGGATGCAACTCATCAATCAAGGATGCAAACGGAGTCTTATGAAGTCTCCTAAATCCCTCAGCTGAAATTTGACCCTAATAGCAACCATTAATTGGATAAAAATACATATGGACTGCAGCAACTGTTTCACCCGATCACTTTGGTTACAAACAAAAATCCACATAGAGTATGCAGGATGTACTGTCACACTGATAAGTACCAACAAACGACATTTGGAGCATAGCTAATTGATAAGAACGTAAACTACAGTATTCAGGTTTGTAGAATATTGTCTAATTAATCCTGATCTATGTAACTTTACTTGGCCACATACACCAAAAGAACAACATTATCATATCAACTACACGAAAATTCCTATCAAGCAAACAATGTAGACTTATGTATAAATGAGGAAATCATAGATGCACCTCAAGGTTGGGAACTCAGACTCGGAAGGTTCAGCTGGATCTGGTCTCGCCTCAGGATTCCGCAGATTCTGAGGATAAGATGACAGAGGTTGTGTCTGAGGAGGAGTGAAAACTGGTGCCGATTGCTCTGATCTCTGAGGAAACACTGCCCCAGCTCGCTGAAAGATTGAACACTTTTAGTGTTAAAAAATTGCTAGACCATGACAAAAATGCTAATGCCAAATAGACAAACACAATGAAACGAGCAGTCATGCATGGTTGGTGAAACATTCTCAAATTAACAACAAATTCAGATTATTGGGTCACTGAAAAACATTATGTCAGAATAACATACCAATAACTCCTGGTATGCTGCATAATATTGAGGATATCTGGCCCTTGGCCCTCCGAAAGCTTCTTGCCATGTATCTATTAGAGTCAGAACCTTCTCCTTCACATGAAAGTCAGGCTACAAGCAAGTAACATGAATCATTATGAAGATGCTTCTGAAAAACTGCCACTGGATAGGAGAACCAGACTGCAGAAGAGATAATACCTTTTTCCGCGCTATTTTCACCATGTCATGGAGCAAATCTTTCTCTGCCACTTGCATGTGGACGATATCCCCACAATTCTTTATGATAGTCTCCAACAACTAGAATACATATACAGACCAAGATGTAAACAATCTGCATCCTTGAAGACAGACTATAACCAAATTTAAGAGACAAAATTATATGCGAAGGTAAATTGTACTCGTTTATCCAAGCCCACAATAGCAGAACCCTCCAAAAGGACAAAACGGTACCAGAGCATGAATATGTTAAGCCCCAAGAAAACAAGCAAGGAACAGGACATCAGAACAAAAACCAAGTTAGTAGAGCTAGATAACCTATTATGCCTACAATCTATCCTTCCACATTATCCTGGATTCACAGTCTCTGAAGCAATAAATGTGTAGAGGATAAAGGTTTGCAGTAACGCACTCAACGGTGATGCAGAGAACTCTATGCATATGTCGAACACATGCAGAAGAACCTGGACCATCTGTTCTAAAGGCTCAAGCAACTGAAGTGGAGAAATGCCACTAGGCGAGACTACTGATATTTTACTTGGCGCACAAACCATCAAAACCAATCAAAGGATGTGCAGAACTCAAATAGATGTCAGATGTTACCGAGGCTTACTGTCAAAGCAAGAAGTTGAACTTTAGCATTCTTACTTCCAAGGCGCTTCTTTATTCCTTTTACGACATCTTTCGCTTGTCTGAAAATACAATATCAAACGAGACAAAGTTAACATTCCGATTAGAGAAAGTCGAAAAAGCTCAACTAAGTCATAAACAACTACTTCAATCAAGATAGGGGACAACATCGAGCTCCAGTGCCAGTTAAGAGTAAAGAGAGTTCACACACTGCCGTCTAAATCACTTCAGTAGTGAAGAAACACTCTAATCGGAGGCCCTGAACCTCTCCCAAACCACAAAACAACATGAATCAAATTCAACAGAGAGACAACTAGTCTCCACTGCTTCCAAGATACGAGCTTTCATCACCATAGAACTCCCAATCGAGTAGCAGCTAAATATTCGGGAATTCGAGCTACAATCAATAGCAAAATTCACAGCGTTTTGCCCACCAGCGCTTCCTGAATCCTGGCTAACAACTATTCGATCACACGCCACACTGCCTCCTCCGCCGAATTACCAATTGGGAAGCAAAACAACAGAGAAACAAGTCCCGCAAAAGGAGAATCGAAGCAGAAATTACGAGAGAAAGCGGGCTAGGCAAAATAGTGCGCGTACCCAGGGTCGTGGTTGCACATGTCGCAGATCTCGATATTCATAGCCCAATCAGGCCCGATCAACATGTCGCTCGTAGCTCGTTCCACCATAGGATTCACCATCTTTCCCCTCCGGAATTTCTTCAGAGCAAAACCCCACCCTCCCACCAAGCAAATCAACCAATCCTCCTCCTTAATACGGCCAAAAAAAAAAAATTAGATCGCTGGAAGTCCAATTCCGGCGACACTGAAACACTGCGGAAGAGTAATTCCTCCGGCGAGAATCCTTATTGCGTGCACTAGATATCGCGCTCGCTTTACCGGATCATAAAAAAATAAAATTATATGAGCTGCCGAACAGAACAGAAAACTGTTGTTTTATCGAAAGGTCTCCTCTTTCCCCTCTCCCTCTGCGGGAACCAGAAGAAGAAGAAGAAAAAGAAAAAAATAAAATAATTAGGAAAAAATTAATTCTACTGTGGGCCTCTTTTGATCCGTAGTTGGGCTTTTCAGTGCGGCTGTGTTGTCATTTTATTTTTTGGCTTTTTCTTCTTTTTCCCTCATTAAATAGTAGCCCAGGGAACCATTGTGTGAGTGACACGTTGCAAACTCCGTTCCGTTGCTTTATCCGCCGCCCTGTTTTTTTGGCTCCCGCAAAGGTTAACGAGCTAACCGCACCAGGAAACCCCGCCAAATTTCGGAAGCAAGAACCCGAACTCGCGTTTCAAATCCATCTCCTCTCCCACTCTCCGGCCTCCGTTCTTTTCTTCACCGTCGTTGCTCTTCCTTCTCCGGCCAACCTCGCCGAATCATCATCCAAATTACCCTCCTCGTTTCCGCGAAGAACTCCATTCCCCTCCCCCCGACTCCGGCCGATTCAAAATCCCGGCCTCGATGCAGCTAATACCGGCGATCACTCATCTATTCTCCGACGCCATCTGCGACCTCTTCATTGGTGTGCTTCTGCCGCCTTCGTGATTCGGTAACTCACATCAGAACTAGATCTTGTTGTTTGCGAGGGAACATGGCGCGGCTCTGAAAAATAGACCGGAAGGAAGAAAGGAAACCCTAGCTGGGAATCACAATTCCACTAATAGACAATAGCAACGGGGGGGGAGGAATCCCCATGGTAGAATCGTCTCATGCGTGTGTGTCAATTGCTTTTGGTTTTTGTTCTCTATCTAGTAGTATAGTTGTGGATCTGGAGAATGGCAATGATCATCGGCGACGCGCTGCGGCAAGCGTTCATGCCGAAACGCGAGTACGAGAGCCTGCGGGAGGAGGAGAAGGCATGGTCGAGGTTACAGAGGCCTTTCTTGGTCTCTGCCGTTTCCTTAATCTGCGTTGCCGTCATTGTCTGCGCGGTTATTAGCTTGAAGATCGTCTCCCCCGCCGTTGGTTCCCGGCGGCCGTTTTGCAGTGACCGGAGGCTCCTGCCACTGCCCATGAAAGGAGGGCGCGACGCTGATCTGTTTGCTGGTGCGTTTTATCTGACGGATCAGGAGATTGCCGACTATTACTGGATGGTGCTCTTCGTTCCATCGCTCATCATTTTCTTGGTCTCATTTGCGTATCTTGCCGCAGGTGAGCACTCCTTTACTACGAATGTTATCCTGATTTGATTTACTTTTCACTGGAATTTTGAGTCTTGCTGGGATTTACTTCTGATCAGAGTGGGCAATGAATTTGTTCGTTCTCCATTTTTGGTAACATCCCCTGGTGCTAACCTTCACGAATAAGCCAACTCAACTGATAAAGACGAGTGCTTTTCGTGTTCAACTTTGTAGGGTTTATGTGGGCGTGGATGTGTGTCATAGACTTTGAAACTTTTATCATTGAGTAATGAGGCAGTTCTCTATGAAAACCATTTGTCGGAATAGTTGTTTTGGTGCGTTCTTATGGAATGGCTTAATGATGGTGCAGGGATTGCTGTTGCTTATTCTGCTCCGACAAGGCATAGTTGCTTAACGGTGGTGGAAAACAGTTACTGTGCTTCCAGAAGAGGTGTGTAGCGCTTTACTTTCCCTTCATTTCCTTAACGGATTATGAACTCACTTACGATTCAAAAGAGTGCGGTGCTCCTACTTCTATTGGTCTTTCATCATGTGGAGAATTACTTGTATTGGTATTTTCACGATGAACATGATTTCTATCCACGGCCTGCATGTTGTATATCGGCACCTCGGTTATCTAGAATACAGCTATATGTTTAGCCGTCTGTCTAGGTAGCCTCAACTTGGTGGAATATGATTGAGGCTTTCTGGATTTACATACTGGTGCTAGAAGTGCTTATGATTGCTTTACTGCTTCTGGCGCATGAAGAATGCAACTGTCACTACGATACTACATTAGTAAGTATTCATGGAATTCAGTGAGATGGGCACTGGACAGACAAATGGAAATACGAGAAGAGACCAACTCTCTTATGATCCAGAACAGCGCTATTGATAAGTTAAGTCCTTTTGAAGATATCTTTACAGATTTGTCCATGCCACTAGTGATCTCTTATTGGTTAGTTACTTACCTGTCTAGCTCCTACTTCAATTGAAATTTTACTCTCCTTGTTTAGCAGTCATTGTAGTCTGGAGATTACAGTTGATATCATTCCTTTAGAGGTGACTTAATGAGATATTAGAATACATACCCGATTGCCCTTTGTAGTTTGTCTATTATCTGATAGTAGTAAAATAAGTGTGGTATGTTCTCTTCAAACTTGAATGCTGGTGGTTTTTAGTAGAAAGAGGTAGACCAAGTTCACTAATGATCGAGTATAGACGATGATGACACTGATTAATAACTGATCAGTTGTACGACCCTCTGGATTCCGATAATTGATAGTCATTCTGCCACTGGTTAAATGTTGCCTTCTGCAGCCATAGGTAAAGCAACAATGATCGTTCAGATGCCAAAATAGAGACAATGGAGCACCAAGGACAAACCTTCACTCACCCTTGCTTCAGGAATTCAATCTGTTAGATTTTCTTTTTTCCTACTGTTATTGTGTGATCACTAGTAGAGAGAATCTTCTGCTAGCTTCATGGGCATGCTAGGTTTCTTCCCCATAATGATCATATGACCGAATCTTCTGACATTACAGGTGGGGTCCGCTGCCTTTACATCTTAAACATCATCTTTGCCATCATCTTTGGTCTTCTCGCTCTGTTGCTCGGTTCAACCCTCTTGACGTTAGGGAGTAGCTGCTCCGTGCCCTTGTTCTGGTGCTACGAGATCGCTGCGTGGGGGCTCGTCATTCTGTATGGGGGAACTGCATTCTTCCTGAGAAGAAAAGCTGCAGTAATCATCGATGAGGGCGATCAGGGTAGCAGAAACCTCGGCCTGGAAATGCTGGAAGCAAACACTTTGGCCGTGGCAGTTACACCAGATGTTGAAAGGCGAGTCACATTTAAGTCCTGGATGGGTTCATCTCTGCTATCTTCCGACGACGAGGACGAACTAGACACTTTTGTAGATGCACCCTACCGGACAAATGCATCTGCAAACAGGCAGAGGGTATAGTGATTGGTGAAATCAGGTTGATTATTAGTGTATACAGCTAATGATACCAAAAGCATACAGAAGGGAGAGAACCGAGTTCTCATGGATCGACCATGATTTGTACTTAAATCAACTGTTAATATTAGAAGTCGTGGAGGTTCGAACAAACGACAACCTGGCCAAACCAGCACCAATACCATGTAAAGAACTAATTTGGTCTCAATGGTCGTTTGGATGAAGAATTTTAAAAGATCAATTTGACCTTAATTGTCTCATTTTGAGACAATTTGACCAAATAGACTCGTTTGACTGTATAGAATTTGGATGGAATAATTTGGCCTAAAGAATTTTGAATTGACTCGTTTTGAGAGAATTGCAATTGCTGAGTGGAACAGATAATTCGAATTGACTCGTTTTTTTCTCATACAATTGATGAAATTGTCTAGTTTGAGATGAGAGAACGTTAATTATGGCCATTGGGCCTTTTTGTATAACTACAGTTTGGGCATTATCTTATGAGTAACTAAATGGGCTTAAACTAGTAATCCGGGAGTGGTTTAAATGGGCTAGAACCGGAAGATGGGCTCCGCAGAAGGTTTGTCCCTTCATCCTTCAGTTCACTAAACCCTAGTCTGCAGGAACTGCTTCTTGCTCCTCTGTTCACTGAATTGCTGAAGCCTGAAAGCAATCTTCGTTCCTTGACCGTTTACCGCTTCATCGTGCTTCACTCCCTGGTTAATCTCCCATCGCCGCCGGGTCCTCGAGCTCTGAATCTCGAGCCATGGCTGCCAATTACGAGTACGACGAGGCTGCCGGCCACTACGACGACCAGGCAGCTGCGCTCCGGCAGCAGGAAGTCGGATACGACCCCAACTTCGTTCCCGATTCCGTGAAATCCTTCGTCGTCCACCTCTACCGCCACATCAGGGAGAAGAATGTCTACGAGATCCACCAGATGTACGAGACTTCGTTCCAGACGCTGTCCGAGAGGCTGTTCAAGGACACACCGTGGCCTTCCGTCGACGCCGTGGTTCACTATGTCGATAACGACCATGTCTTTTGTCTCCTGTACCGGGAGATGTGGTTCCGCCACCTCTACGCTCGCCTCTCCCCTACTCTCAAGCAGAGGATCGACAGTTGGGACAATTACTGCAGCCTCTTCCAGGTCCGTTTTTTTTTTGCTGATTCTGCTTTCTTCTGCTTTGCGTGTGCTTATTGAGTGTGTGAATTGCAGGTGGTGTTGCATGGAGTGGTGAATATGCAGTTGCCCAATCAGTGGCTGTGGGATATGGTGGATGAGTTTGTTTACCAGTTCCAGAGCTTTTGCCAGTATAGAGCTAAGATGAAGAACAAGACTGAACAGGAGATTGCTCTTCTGAGGCAATTCGATCAGGTAAAGCCTGATTCATACGTGTTCCTTGCTCGAGATGGGTTTGGCAGTTACATTCCTTGGAGAGCAGGATTAGCCGCTGTTTCAGAATCTTAATTACTTGCACAAGAAAATCAAGCTTAAGATGCTCGTACAGGTTGCTTTGTCTCTTGTTATGTCACTGATGATGTGTACAATGCTAGCGGATTTAAGTGCCCTAGTCTTTTGAGTTGTATTAGTTTTTGAACATCTTCAGAATTACGTATATTTCAGGCATGGAATGTGTATGGAGTGCTCAACTTCTTGCAAGCATTGGTGGAAAAGTCTGCTATAATCCAGATTTTGGAGCAAGAAAAGCAAGGCATTGAGCAGTTCACTGCCACTGATGGTTATGATTACAGTGGAGGAAGTAATGTTCTGAAGGTGTTGGGGTACTTCAGTATGATTGGTTTGTTGCGAGTTCACTGCCTTTTGGGAGATTATCATACTGGCCTCAAGTGCTTGCATCCCATTGACATAAGTCAACAGGGCGTTTACACCAGTGTTATAGGAAGCCACATTGCTACCATATACCATTATGGTTTCGCAAGCCTGATGTTAAGGAGGTAATTTTTTTACATGGAGCATTTGTATCCATCTCTGCCCTCTACACTTGCTTGATTGCCTGGTTGTTTGGTTGGTCAAGCTTGTTCCACTTGTTGTTCTCCGTCAAGGGCATTGTTCCTTCTTGGACATGATGTAATATCTTGATTTTAGTGGTTGTTTCCCTGAATGTTTGACTGCTCTTAGAGCTGGGTCTCTTTTGTATATATTGTTTCTCAATCTTTACTCTGTCATGTGTTTTCTACCATACTAAGACTTAAACTTCACATTAGGTATGTAGATGGTATCCGTGAGTTCAACAAAATTCTCTTGTACATTTACAAGACCAAGCAATATCATCAGAAGTCTCCACAGTATGAACAAATACTGAAGAAGAATGAGCAAATGTATGCCCTGCTTGCAATTTGCCTCTCATTTTGCCCTCAAATGAAGCTTGTCGATGAGGCTGTAAATGCTCAATTACGCGAGAAATATGGTGAAAAGATGGGTAAATTGCAAAGATATGATGATGAGGCTTATGGTGACAAACTGAGCAGAAGGCAAAGATATGCTGATGAGGCATTTGGTATCTATGATGAACTCTTTTCATATGCATGTCCCAAATTCATTACCCCTTCAGCTCCGAGTTTTGACGAGCCTCTCGTAAATTACAACCAGGTATGCAAATGTATCTATCACACTCGTGCCTAACTTCTAATATGCAATGCCTTTCAATGAGTAGTTACTCACATGCTTTACTTTTTCTTATTCTTTTTGCAGGATGCTTATAGGCTGCAGTTGAAGCTTTTCCTTTCTGAGGTGAGGCAGCAGGAGTTGTTAGTTGGCGCTCGAACCTTCCTTAAAGTATACTCAACCATATCACTTGGGAAGCTTGCCAATTATTTGGACGTGGATGAATCCACGTTAAGGTATACGCTCTAGTCCTTGAAAAGTTTTTGCCTTCAAATCCTGTCTTCGGGAGGAGTTATTTGAGCAATTGGTTTGTTTTTTTTCTTTTTTCCAGGATGACATTGATGACGTACAAGCACAAGACTCATGCTGTTGATTCTGATGGAAAGATTATCTCCAATGCCGATGTCGACTTCTACATTGATGATGTATGATACGTGCCCCTATCTGCCTTTGGCTCCATGCCGTCATCCATTATCACTTGTTTAATTAAGATCTCCATATCCTTTTGGCTGTTGCAGGATATGATACGTGTTGTGAACTCCAAACCAGTGAAGCGATATGGCGATTTCTTCTTGAGGCAAATTGTAAAGGTATGCTATTTCGTATTTCATATGTCCTATAGTTTTTTCTTCCTGATTATGATGTATTAGAAGAAGAAGATTTGATCTATGAATGATATGATCTCCCATGGTGATTACTTGTGCTGAATTCCCTTGCTGTAGCTTGAAGGAGTGATCAACGACGTGGACCGGATAAAGGTGGAGTCAGCCAATTGACTGTTGCCTTTCTTTCATCCGACCAGATCATGTAGTTCTACCAGACATCGGCAGAGATTTCGTTATATTCATTCGCATTTTGCGTATGAATCGTGTGTTGACGTCAGCTAGTGAAAAGCTGCAGCTCTATAAGACGGGAAGAAGCACGCTGTCAAGACTTTGGAATGGATAGATTAGATCCTGTGTTTAGTTGCTGGCGGCATGGTTTTCTTCCTCGTCTTGTTTGGAATTGGTTTCAGTCATATTTGCTCGCATTGGTCGAAAGACGCCGGAATTTGGGTGATGGAAGGTTTTGATTTTTGAATGATAGTTTATGTCAGCCTAACAAGAACAATTCATTTATTATGTATACAAAAAAAAAAAAATCAAACTACGATGGATTTCAAACAATACAAGGATAATAACGATCTTAGAAAACAATGAACACAGCTTAAGGGGACGGGTTATTCCCCCGTTTCCCAGCGGAAATCGCGCGCTAGCTAATAATGAGAGCCCGCGTTCGAATCATCGCAGCCACATTTTTTCTTCTTTTTCCTCCGTGATCCTATACGACGCCGTTTTTTACCCAACTCTACGATGGATTCCAAACAATACAAGGATAATAACGATCTTAGAAAACAATGAACACAGCTTAAGGGGACGGGTTATTCCCCCGTTTCCCAGCGGAAATCGCGCGCTAGCTAATAATGAGAGCCCGCGTAACTGTTAGACTGCTCTTAGAGTTGAATCTCTTTTTTGAATACAAGGATAATAACGATCTTAGAAAACAATGAACACAGCTTAGCTTAGTTGACCCAAAGGCTTACGGATAAACTACCAGTAATGTTGGAATGGAGATGGAGCGTGGGATTAGTGTCCTAGTTGGAAATCAGTATGAACTGAGACCAATGTAGTCAAAATCGCGCTTTAAAATTTAAAAATTTACGATTTTACGTTTCTAGATCACTAAAACGGTTCTACACAAAATCTTAGTTTTTATAGCTTATGTAGTTAAAAACTCCGCATTAAAACTTAAAAACTTACGATTTTACGCTTCTAGATCACCAAAACGTTTCTATGTAGAAACTCGCTTTTGACTACATTGACTGAGAGACTAGAAGCAAGTTCGCTAGCGGATGAAAGAAAATACAGTGTCCACTCCAGTCACCATCATGTCCCCTGCCTTCATTATCGGTAGCTCTCAGCCTCTCACTCAACTATACAATCCGTATTATGGGACTGGATTCATACAATCCTCTTCTGCTTTCTTTCCTTCACAGAGAAGTATCTTATCCCATTTTTCTTACATACTCCCTTCCTTCCTTCCTTTGCCTTTGGACCTCTTTTCCTCACAAGTTCTCTGGCCAAAAATGGCATTCGCTGTTGCTGAGGCGATCCTCAAGAAGCTGGCTCCCCTTGCTGCAGAGCAAGCGGGTCTCCTGTGGAGCTTTAAGAGCGATTTTCTGAAACTGAAAAGCACAGTTTCCTCGATACGTGCGGTGTTGTTGGATGCTGATGAGCAATCGGGTATGAACCATCAGGTTCGAGACTGGCTCGATGAACTGAAACAGGTCCTTTATGATGCTGATGACTTGCTGGATGATTTCTCCACGGAGGCACTCTTGAAGCAACGAAGGAATGATGGGAATCGCTGTGTGAACGAGGTATGCCTCTTCTTTACGCGTTCCAACCAATTGGTTAGTGGTCTTGTGATGGCTCATCGGTTGAAGGCCATCAGGACCAAGCTAGATGAGATTGATGAGAATCGGAGGAAGTTTAATCTTGAAACGCGCCTTCAAGATCCGGCTGCTGCTGCTGCGATCAAGCACGAGAGGCAGACTGACTCCTTTGTTCCATATGGATTTGTTGGGAGGGAGGAAGATAAGAAGAAAATAATTGCTATGTTGTTGTCATCGACCAACGATGAGCAGAAAATTGAGGTTATTCCGATTCTTGGAATGGGGGGTCTCGGGAAAACCGCTTTGGCTCAGTGTATCTACAACGATAAGAATGTGTCTACTTGTTTTCAGTTAAAAATTTGGATATGTGTTTCGGATAATTTCGATCAAGCACTATTGGTGAGGAAGATGTTGGAGTCTATAACCAAACGTAAAGTGGAAGATCTTGACTTGGACATCTTGAAGGGGGAACTTAAGAAGGAGATGGGTAATAAGAGGTTCTTGTTAGTGTTGGATGATGTTTGGGATCATGGTGACTACAAGGGCAAGTGGGATAGCTTGATGAGCTTTTGGTTGCAGGTCGAGGCAGCTGGTAGCAAAATTATCGTCACTACTCGTCTTGGAGGTGTCGCGAATTACTTCGCAACGAAGGGGATTAAACCACACAAGCTAAAAGGTTTATCTGAGCAAGAATCGTGGGTTTTGTTTGAACAAATAGCATTTAAGGGTGAAGTGGAAAGTGGTGAAAGATTTGTATACATAGGGAAAGAGGTCATGAGAAGGTGCATGGGAGTTCCTTTGGCCATAAGGGTGATTGCAGGTGCCCTTTCATCTAAGAGCAACATTGTTGATTGGGTGGCTATAAGAGATAAACAAGCAATGTTTGATGGGGATGATGAGAGAAAGATTTTGGGTACTCTTAAATTGAGTTATGACAATCTGCCTTCTGAACTGAAATCATGTTTTGTTTATTGCAGCTTGTTTCCGAAAGATTTTGATATTGATGTGAAATTGTTGGTGCAAATTTGGATGGGGCAAGGATTTATCAACTCTAGTCAATCGTCATCTGCTTCATTTGAGGTCGGAGTTGAATATTTCAAGAGTTTGCTGTCTAGGTTCTTTTTCCAAGAGCCAAAAAGTGATGCATGGGGGAATGTAAAGTGGTGTAAGATGCATGATTTGATGCATGATGTAGCCCTGGGGATTGCAAGTGAGGAGATCGTAGCTTTAAAAGCTTTAGATTCGATGGAAGGTCGTGGCAATTCTGATAGGCTTCGACACATATCATTTGATTTTGAAGAAAAACCAACAGAGACATGGAAAGCTCCAGATGCGTTGGCTAGTGCAACAGTACTGCGGACTTTTCTTCCTATAAATACACCCTATTATGGCATTGGTGGCATCGAGGAGCAGAACTGTGAGATGATCTTCTCAAATAATACTAGGCTGAGAGTTTTAAGTCTCCACGGTGCTAAACTGGAGAGTGTGGCCCGCTCCATCCATAAGTTGACACATCTCAGGTACCTAAATCTTGGTCACAACCTTATGGAGGTGCTCCCAGGCGAGATTACGATACTAGTAAATTTACAAGTGCTCATACTAAATTATTGTGAGAATCTCGAGCAATTGCCAAGAGATATTGTGAAATTGACTGATCTCGAGTTTCTTAGCCTTGTTCGGTGTTCGAGTTTGAAAGGCTTGCCACTTGGGATCGGGCGTCTCACTCGTCTAAGAGAATTGTCCCTATTCGTTGTGTCAGCTCCATCAGACTATTCACATGGGGCAGTCGCAGCTAGAATCAGCGAGCTGGAGCATCTCGACAATCTAAGTGAAGAATTGGAGATCAGAAATCTGGAATTGGTGAAGGATGAGGCTGAAGCGAAAGCAGCAAGTTTGTTTCGGAAGCAACATCTTCAAGCCTTGACATTGAAGTGGAGCTTACCGAGACGAGTTTTTGCTGGCAGGGATGTTGGGGTACTAAAGGCGTTGGAGCCACATAAGAATTTGAAGGAGCTAAAGCTGAATGGTTATGGCGGTCACAGTCTACCTAGCTGGTTCTCTACTACTCTCCAGAATCTGATTCGCTTGACATTGTCTAATTTAGGTCGCTTAAAGTACATCGAGGATGACGCTGGGCAGTTTCTTCCCCGCTTGAAATATCTCTGGATTCGCAACTGCCCCAGACTAGTAAGCTGGAGGTCAACCACAGAGATAGAAATGCCGCAGTTCCCTTCTCTTTCAGATCTCCGCATTGAGAAGTGCCCGAAACTGGTACGGCTTCCTCATATTTCGGCGGATATTGATACGGTTTACTTAAATTATGTTGACCGCAAACTGTTGGACCAGTTTGTTGCCTCATTTCCACCACCCAGCTCCCCTTCGCGGATCAAGAATCTGACAATTTGCGAGATAAGAGGCCTTCGAATTTTGCCGCAAGGTTTACTGCCTCATCTTGCATCCCTTGAATATTTGTGGATATGGGGTTGCCCGAACCTAATGAATCTGTATCCACCGGCTACTAGTCAACAACAACATCTCACTTCCCTCCAGTTCTCTGCCCTTTCAAACCTCCGTCGCTTTTATATCTTTCATCTTCCAGGGATAAAGCGTCTACCAGAGTGGCTTCAGCATTCCTCTAACTTGCAGGTGCTGTCGATTCATGATTGCGACGGTCTGAAGTGCTTGCCAAAATGGCTACCCAAGCTTACAGCGCTAGATACTCTGATAGTAAGCGGCTGTCATTTTCTATCAGCCAGATTGAAGAGTAGAACGGCCGAGGACTGGCCCAAAGTTGCTCACATTCGGAAGATTGATATTGATGGCACCAAAGTACAAAGGGACGGTAACTACATGAGAGTAGAAGAGCCAGCAGACGAAAACCAACTTCAAGAACAAGAAGCAAGTGGAGGAGAAGAAGAAGAAGAAGAAGAAGAAGAACAACAACAACAACAAGAATTATTCAGTGAAGAAGAAGATGTTGACGATGCTGATAATAATGATGATTGCGAGGAAGAAGAAGAAGATGATGATGATGATAATGATGACGAGGAAGAAGAAGGACTATCCTCGTGCATTCCGTCTCCAAGGTACATTCTTCTTAACTACATGTTTTAATGAACGTATTCTTTGAAAAAAATATGAAAGAGGTCTCCTCCATTGATTGATTTTATGACTGCAGGATGTGGTCAGATTGCATTGCGAGACTCACTTGTAACCTATTCCAGAGATGCTTTCTCGACTAGTTAGCAAACGTTCTCTCTTTTATGACGGGTATTTTTGATGCATACCCACGAGACTTATCGCAGCTTCCATAAATATCCGACGAAGTAGGATCACTATCGAAGTCTGCACATTCATTTGTGAGACCTCTATGGCGTACAAGCTTGTTCTCTTGGATCAAAATTAGACTATTTCGTTTTATGTTTCGTGGCAATAGCTGCATTGCTTCTTTTCCTTGAACTTCGATGTTGTGCGTGCTAGTTTTGTGTGTTATGTACTTGCTTCTTGTAACCTTTGTTGTATTCTGGAGCTGTGCGTACTTCCTGGACATGAAGTAATATCTTAAGGTAAAGGCTCTATTCCTGGAAAAGTTTTTGCCTTGGTATCCTGTCTATGGAAGCAGATATTCAAGCAACTGTATTGTTTTTCAGGATGACATTGATGACGTACAAGCACAAGACTCATGTTGTTGATTCTGATCGAAGGATTATCTCCGATGTCGATGTCGACTTCTACATTAATGATGTATGACACAAGCCCCTGCCTCTTTGATTCAATGTACTTTTGGAGATTGTTAAGCATATACCGTAGGTTCTCAAAAAAAATAAATATATTATCTAACATCTCTGTATCTTTTTGGCCATTGCAGGACGAGATACATGTTGTGGACTCAAACCAGTGACTTGATATGGAGATTTCTTCTTGCGGCAAATTGTAAAGGTATGCTTCCTGCTTATGATGTACTAGAAGAAGATTTGATCTATTAATCATGTTAACCCATGATGATTAAGTGTACTACGTACCTTTTTGCAGCTTGAAGGAGAAGAAGAAGAAGAACAACAACAACAACAACAACAACAATTATTCAGTCAGGGAGATGATGATGATGACGTTTTTTATAATTATGATGAGGGCGAGGAAAAGAGAAGATAAGAATGATGAGGACGAGGCAAAAGAAGAACTACCCTTTGGTACTCCGTCTCCGAGGTACATTCTTCATTTCTTCTCGACTACGTTAATGAACATATTCTTTGAACTAATATAAAAGTGGTATCCGACATTGCTTGATTTTGTCACTGCAGGATGTTGTCAAGCTAGTGATCACTCTAATGACACTATCAAGTCTGCACATTCATTTGTGAGACGTCTATGGCGTACAAACTTGTTCTCTTGGATCAAATTTCACAATTGCATTCTATGTTTCTTGCCGATAGTTGCATCTTGATTGTTTTCGACCACCAGCTTGAACTTCCATCCTGTCGCACTAGTTTTGTGTTTTTAATTTCGTTCTCGTACACTTTGTAATATTTTGGAGTTGGGCCTGATAGTGAGAGATTTTGTAATAATGCAGCTGTCACTGGCTTGAAGTAACAGATTCATTTGCAGCAGCAAACTCCTCAACACTGTCTTGTCTTCTGTTGTTGTGTTCTTACAAGCTCAATCTGGCATAGTTTCATAATGGCGAAATTTCGGTATACTCGGTGGGAGATTCAGAATAATATATCTGCTATGAAGAAGAAATTTCTACGATATAAACAAGGAGTGGCTAAAAACAGTGAGATACTCCATCCTGTAACTTTTGTTTCTTACCTCTCAGAACCCAAAAGAGACTCCTATTGGAATTTTACTGTATGAGTACCATATGATCCCTATACATCTGCTTGCCATTAGTACGTTTCCTGTGCTCCTTGAGAGCTTTGAACTTCTCTTCCAAATCGTTTGCAATCAGCCAAGTATGATGGACTTGGCTCGGTAACTCTGCTTCTCAACTCTCAGACCATAGTAGCATCAACAACACCCCAGCTGGTGCATAGAATGTACTTACAAGGTGAAGGCTTCACTGTTCCATTTCTTCCCTCCAATTGAATCATCCTTGCATTGCCTCTGGTACAAGCAACCTCATTGTTGTCGGGAAACATAGACTTGCATTGTCTACTGAACGTATTGATCGCACTATTCCTGATAGATTAAGACGAAACTAATTCCAAACAGACCGAGGTAAATGGACGAGACACAATGAAAAGGAAAAATACTCTGTTTCTCTTTTCTTTTGAACCTGATGGGAGAGACTGCGATGAACAACATTGAATGAGTTCAGACTAGATTGAAGGTTCTTAACGAAAACCGGATTCCTGACAAAATGCATACATACATCTATATTTTGGTGTTACTATAAACAATAGAATTTCCCACAGCCTAAAACTGTTTTCCTTCTTCTCTTTTCCTTCCCTTCTTGGCTTTCTTCCTCTGCTATCTGAAATTCTTCAACAGGTGGGAAGAAGTGGAAGGACTCGACAAGCTGCTCGTTGCACCTGTAGTAGAAGAAAATTTCCCTTTCTCCTTACCTTTCTCAGGCGTCCCGCATTCGCTGAAGTCCAAAACTCGGCCTTCCTTCTGCTACAAGAAAAGGGAGAAAAAAAGATTCCAAAGTGATTAAGTAGCTATGCATACTGCATATACATAATAAATCCATTGTAAAAAAAACCATCAACACATACAGAGATATTGGCCAAAACGGAGCCACTAATGTCGCGATCTCCATCGTTGTTTTTCTTGGTCCGAGACGGTGTTCTTCTGGCACCGCCTTCCTTTGGATATGGTTTCAGGGGTTTCATCCCCAAGAACTTCCAACGCATCAGCACAAGCAGCAGCAGTTTGCTCGCTGAACTGCTTCAAAAGTGTAATGGCATCATAGCTTCTGTCCCCCGGGCTCAGAAGATATCCCATATCCTGAAAAGATGAAGTGATTGATACGATTCTCCAAAAAGAATGCTGAAAATTTTGGAGAACGACATGTAAGAACTAGAAGTGGTAGTAGTACCTCAACTGAAATTTCTGTGTCGACCCTTGGACCGGGGAGGAAGGAGTTCATGAAACAAAGGTTATAGGCATAATATGCCTCTTTATTGTGTCGTTTTATCAAACATGTCTCGCTGCTATTTTTTACAACAAACATGCCCGTATATTTTGGCAAAATAATCAAACATGTCATTCTGTTAAAACATTCATCCAATAACCGTCAACCACTGTCGAATCTTGGTTTGGGTGATAAAAATGTCTAAAAATATCCCTAATACTTTTCATAAAATGATTTTATTATTAGACCACACATTACGAAAGTCTTACGTAACATCATTATATAATAATTAATAAATATAATAAACAAATGTTAAGGTAGTCATTATTATATATATAATTAAAAGCAAAATTACATGTTCACTCTTAAAAATTATGATCAATATTTCATTTGAAACCATTTCTGTAACGGGTACTGTTCACAAGAAGTTTTGAACTCCTACATCCAATTTTATCATAAGCTCATTGTTATTTAATGAACACTCCTTTATTTTTACTGTTTATCATAAGTTCATTGTTATTTAATGAAAAATATTTTTTTTCACGGTTTATTATAAGCTCATTGTTAGTTTTACTATTCATTACTAAAAAATTAAATTTTTACCCTATGTTTACAAGGAGTTTAATTTGCAATACACAAATTTATCATAACCTCATTGATATTTAAAAAAAATTCCTTTATTTTTACGGTTTACCATAAGCTCATTTTTCTTTATTTTCAATATTTATTGCTAAATAATATGAAAATATTAAATTATTACCTGAAATTCCATTATTTTAACTAAAATAATTAACACGTCATCAATTTTAATTATGCAAAAGTTCAACAAGTTTAGTAAATTTTGACATAATAGTTTTAATCCTACGTACCAACACTCTATAACATTTACATATTACAAAGTCATGAAATGATACTTTCTATAACTTGATCTTATTATTAGACCACACATTATGAAAGATTCATATAACAACGTTCTATTGCATAAACAACATTCTATAACAAATATAAAGTGATAGCTATTATGTAAACAAATATATCACATGAGTCTTCCTTAATGATTAACACACAACGTAAACCTTATGAAAATATTATCATTTTGTATATATAAATTAAATAAAAATATTATGTAAGTCTTCCATAATGATTGAACTTTATGTAAACCTTATGAAGACATAGTTATTTATTGTGTATCACTTAAACAAATGTATGACATATGCTATTCGTAAGTATTAATAAACTAAATGAAATTTATGGAGATATCTTATCTTAATAATTATTTGATTTCAAATAAATTATTAATTTCTTGTCGCGGCAGAGCGCGGGCTAAAAACCTAGTTATCCTAAAATTGATATCTTCGTTTCTATTTGACAGCATATTTCGATGATGTACATTTCATTTTCGAATTCTTATTTATTGACATTTTTTTATGAATTCTCGGACTATTCAACCAGAAGGCGATTGGCCACTCGAATTAGGCTCACGTGTATTCGACAATGCGTTTTCCGTATTCGGATTCATATAGATTGAGAATATTTGTGAATTATCCGACTACTCAATCACATGTATTTTTGGCAATACATTTTCTTTTTGAATTCTTATCGATCGACAATTTTTGTGAGTTCTTCAACTATTCAAATAAGTATCTTTTATTTTTTCACAGAGTCCTATTTTCGAATATAAGCCCTAAGTTGCCATCGAGTCTAATTTATTCATATATGCTCATGACTTAAAACTGCAGTTTTTTAATAGAAGTTTGACTCAATAGCATCAATGGTCTTACATGTGGCTGAACACAAATTTTCTTGAACTGATCTCAGGTTATATTGTTTAGTTTACCGATTCACACAATTGACAATTGTATTATGTGAACTTCTATATTTTGTTGAACATATTCCTTCATATTTACAAAACACAAATCTTAATAAAATAAGAATTGAACATCTTTCAACCTAGTTATTATGGAAAGAAAGTGTGCACAGTAAAATCGATGTACAGAACTATCATTGAGGAAAAGTTTGTGGGGAAGCCTAATTTCCCCTTCAAATCGGTTTGGAGAAAGGTGGTTCCGGAGAAGATATGTTTGTTCGTTTGGATTGCTACGCTTCAAAGAACTTTAACTCTTGATACATTGAAGAAACGAGGTGTACAGCTGGCTAATAGATGCGAGCTATGCTGCAGTGAAGAGGAATCAATTGAGCACATCCTGAATAGATGTAACTTCACCAGCCAGGTGTGGAAAGAGTTTGAGAAGGGCTGCAACTTTACTAATCCGGCATTGGGCGATAATCTCGCTGCAACTATTGAGAAATGGCCTGCTTCTATTCCTAGCAGCCTTGAAGGATGGGTTAATTACTGTGCGTTCCATGGCGTTTCTTGGTACATTTGGCTCGAACGGAACCACAGACTTTTTCACAATGTTTCATCCAGTCCAGATCGGATTGCCACAAGATCAATCAACAATATCTCAAGGTGGATTACAGCCAAAGGAAAAGCAGATCGCGTCTCTGTCTCTGCCTGGCTTCAATTGTTTCGCCACCGGATTCTCTAAGTTGGCATCAGTGCGCTCCTCGCGGATGGCTGGGTCTGCTTGCTTTCCCCGGCCGCTTGCTGCTCTTGATTGAGCGGCTTGCCTCTGGGCGCTTGTGATGTTTCCCCTGTAATTTTCCCCTGTTATTTTCGCTTTCTCTGTTTCTTCCTTCTTTCTTTCTTCCCTTCCTTCTGCGTCTGCTCCCTTTGTTGGCACTCCTGGTGCCTTGTTGTTTCAGACTCCTTTCTTTTCAATACAATTTTCACCTTCATAAAAAAAAAAAAGTGTGCACAGTAAACACAAAAGGAAAAAAAAAGATACATAAGTAACACAAGGCCCTCTTGGCCAAACCAGAAACAAAAAAAAAACACAGACGACAACTCTATTCCCAGAAAACAGAGCAGTCGAAACAAGAAAAAGCCCGACCAGCAACATAAACAACGACCCAAAAGAAAAGCCAACAACAAAACGAAAGACAGACCAGACCTCGCTCTGCGTCAAACTTTCGAACATCCGTCAGACTTGCATGCCCCTACGCGACTTGCTTCGACGGGCAAAACCTGCGAAAACTGAGCTGACCAGTTCGGTTCGAATCTTGGGGAAACGTAAAAAAAAAAAATTAACTTCGACTGTTTGTGAAATGATAATTACATCCCTCAGTTATTGCTATTTCTTTGAATATTACATTTAAATTTTTCATATTTTAGACATTAAAATAAATATTTGTATTTTGGGAAGAGGACACCCTGATTCCCCCCCTGACTTAGTCAACAATGACAGAGACACAGAGCCTCTCCAACCAGGTCAATGGCTAGTCATTGTTAAATTCGGAAAATGGCTAAGGTTCGGTGAGTATCATGTCGCCTTCACTGGCAGCTATCATTCAGATTATAGAAAAGAAATCATTATTCGTCCTGTATTGAGATTAGTTGATGTGTCATAACGATTAGTGAGTTAGCATCTTGATTTTCCAGCTATCATCTGCACATTCTGAGTCAACGTTCAGACACCCCTCCTGCGATC